TGCCAGACATTAGTCACCGTGGAAGTCCCAGATCGCCTTGGCTGCCTTGCTGTCGAATTCGCGGGCTGTGGTGGACTTTAAATTATATATCCTGCACCAGAACGAGGAGCCGTACCGAACAAGCCCCCGCCGTTGTTGAGCTCAAAGATCCCCTGCGCGTGGTCAGTCGATTGAGGAACACGGACAGGGAAGAGACGCACTGTGTAACCCCAAGGCATCTTCTCGAACGGGGTCACATCAAGGATGTCGACGACAAGGCAGTCGCCCGGCTCCGCGCCCTCAACCGCGATGGGTCCAGAGAGGTTGTGCACTTTAGTCAGGTCAACGTTCTTGATGTCGTCGCTGTCTATTTATCAAATGCATCCAATTAAGAACGAGAAAAGCAGCAGCATAAAAAATGCACCCACTATCATTATTCCCGATTTGCGCGCCAGTCCAGTCTTTGGAAGGGGCGCCGCGTAAACAAGTAGTAGCTAATTGACTCGGTAGACTTACCGACACATTCGATCTTGAATACCTGAGCAAGAAAAGAATAAGGAGAAAATACAATAGTGCGACGGGCTGATGCTCGCCTCTCCAGGTTTCACGGTCGCGAAGGCCGGGATATCGGGGCTAGCGAGGAGAAAATGACATACATCCGTAGGAACATCTTACAACTCACTGCCAGCGATTGTGAATTCCCTATAAACCATTCATTCAATGATCCATTGACGGTCGTCACAGACAGCGACACTTGCCTTCTGCTGGTCTGCAGGTCTTCGTCCCGCATTTCTCGGTTAGATAAGACTACAGTGTTTCTTTATCGTTACTCACACGAACGGATCGACCTATTATGCGCGAGTTATGTATGCGAGACGACGTGACGAGGAGAGACGCTGCGCACCTGGATCAGGGTAGGATGGGGGACAGAGTTTGCCTGGGTCGCCATGAAGTTCGCGAGAGAGATACAAGCGCCTGTGAGAAAGCGGGTAGATAAGAAAAGGATAAGAACCGGCGCCGCCCTGTCTTCTCATGACAATTGAATTTGAGATAGCGGCGAAGAAGAAAGTCAGGTCACGGGTGCGTGAATAGCTTAAATAGGCTTAAAAGTCGCGCGACGAGAGTGGAGAGGATCTAGGCCTCAAAGTCGGTTCCCCGCAGGGAGGACCGGAGAGCGAGCATAGCCATATGCATAAGTATGTTAGTACACAACGAGCACCACAACCATCCATCTCGTCCATTTACCGCCTAACGCGCAACGACAAAGAAAGATTCTGAACGCGGGGAGCTCGCCCCTACGAGTCCACGCGGCGCACGACGTATCGGTCCCAGCTCGGGAGCGTTACGCTCATGCTGTCCACGCGCATCGCCTCGAGCACCTTGAGCATCTCCGCCTCAAGCGCCTGCTCCTTCTCGCGGCGCGTCGCCGTGCCCATCCCCGCGGCGGCGATGCTCGTGCCCTTCCCCTTCCCCTTGTCCGGGCGGTGCCCGTGGTGGTGCCGGCCGTCGCACGTGTGCTGATGCGTGTGCTGGTGGTGGTGACACAGCCCATCCGCGGCAGGTGCGGGGACGAGCACGACCTTGAGTCTGCGGTCGTCCAGCCGCGTACGTGCGAACGGGAGCGGCTTCGGCTGCTTGGGCTTCCCGATGCCGAGGCGCTCGTGCAGCTCGGCGGTAGCGGTAGCAGCGGCGACGTGTGACGGCTCGGCGACGGCCATGTGTGACGAGGAGGACGTCGAAGAGGCGAACGTCGAAGACGTGGGCGAGGATGCAGAACTCGAGGGTGGGAGAAGGGAGAGCAGCTCCTGGATTGCTTCTGTGTTCGTCGGCTGGAGCTTGAGAATCGAGCGCAGGTCTGGGACAGCTGTTAGCGGGCGTTTTGGGAACGGAATGTCGACATACCTCGGATGGCTTCGTCGGAACGACCGAGCATTTTCCGTGCGCGGGCACGACGGAAGTAGCCCTTACCGCTGCGATGCTGAGTCAAGGCCTTGGTGCATGCAGCTTCAGCCTCCATCCAGCTATTCAAATGTCAGAAAGACAAAGCGGGAGAGAGAAATCGACATACTTGCTCAGCTTCAGATGGGCTGCTGCTAGATTGAGCTGGTAGTGAGGTAGTTCGGGCTCGATCTGGTACGCAGCCTCGTAGTGCTTGACCGCCAGAACATAGTCGCCTTTGCGAAATGCGACATTGCCCTCTTCCTTCTCGCGCTCCGCCTTGATGTATCGCCACTCCATGAGCTCCCCGATAGTCATCTCACTCTCGACCCCGTCGTCGCACTCCTCCGGATCCATACCACCAAAGTCTAACCCAATTTCCCAAATATCCTCTTCCTCCTCTGTCTCCCATCCGTACACGCCGCTGCCACGACCGTCCCACTCGCGCTGCTTGCCCAGTCGCACGCCGCTCTCCTCCTCATCCTCGCGCACCGTGCGCTCGCACACCTCGCCGAGATGATCAGTGGAGCACCCACAGTCGCACCACTTGCTTGTGAGCTTCTCACGAAGGACCATCCCGTATCCGCGGACGTCAAACTCGCGCGCAACGCGCCACAGCGTCTGCGAAAGCTTTTCGTAGCCCAGCCGGACCTTTGGGCGCCAGTCGTGCGACCACTCAGCGGCGCGTGACGCGTACTTGAGCTCGCACGCCTCCTCGAGCGCGTCCTGCCCCTCCTGCAGCGAGCTGAGGTGGGGCGGCTTCGCAAATGCCGCGGGCGGCATGGCCTCGAGCGAGTCGAGGTGGGCCTTGAGCGAGTCATAGTGTGGCAAAAGGCGCATCGAGTGCAGACCGCGCTTTTTGCAGATGGTGATGTTGTTGGAGAGGGCCTGGAGCCCGTCAGCGGTCGGCAGGGGTCGGGATTTCGGGGACGTACAAAGTGTCTGAGGGCGGTGTATGACCAGAGCACACTCTTGGTCGCGACGCGCTCGCCGGCCTGTCGCATGTCCATGCTAATTGCAGCACGGAAGAAGTCCTTGATCTCGTCCGCGTCGGCATTGTGGGCGACCCAGCCGGGGCCCGCGAGGGCGACGCAGCGCATGACGAAGGTGGGGAGATGGACGAGGGCGATGCTGTACAGGCGCGTCGAGAACAGGCGCGCGATGTCCTGCTCGTAGCGGATGAGAAGGATGCGGGCAATTGCGCGCTCCAGCTGGGAGACGGCGGTCATGGCCTGGGAGATACCGCGGTCAGCATGCGGATTCAGCGACCGAGACTGGTGAGAGTTTTTCCCCGGCGGCGTTTTTTTGAGAGCACCGGCGGCGGACCTCTTTTTTATGTGCGAGTACTTTGCGGGCATGGCACCAAGTTATACGTGGTCCACGTAGCAAGTAAAATGAGCGCTAGCCCACACGTTATGTGTGGAGTTTCCGAATCAAGTCGCGACGAAAAAGCGCGGCCTGGAGTGACTGCGCCTTTGTAGGGAGCTTGGAAACTGCAGCTCAGGTCGAGCCAGTAGTAGTAGAAGGAAGGCGCTGAAGCGTTGCTAGTTTACAACAGCTGTGGTATGCAAGCTGTATCCACACAGGTTTTCAGCGCCAATATATACGTTAGACGCTTGTTCCCTGAGAGAGATGGGCGCAAAAGTTAAGAGGTGCACACGAGACACTATGCCAGCAAACGCACTTATAGAAGGAAGCCTGAGAACCCGTCGCCGATGGGGGCAGTGGTACCACGAGGAGAGTTTGTTGATGTTTGACTACGGCCCCCGCCGCCGCATTTTGTGTAAGCGGCATTCTCTTTCTCTTCAACTTCCATCTCCTTCCAATCTCCTTCAGTCGTGACAGCCGTGACAGCCTCCCATTCTTCAGCTCTCCAGTAGATTCCAACACCGACGATAGCTGTTCCAAAATCAAGTCCCACACTTTGAATTCGTATGATAAAGGGCCTCGCCACCTGCTCGTGAGTCTGAGGTTTGACTTGCGGCTTAATTCAGACGTTTCTTGCCAAGGGATTCTCCGAAGTCACTAATCTGGTCAGCATACTTTATGTCCAATATTGCTAGCCATTCACAGCACGTCAAAGGTAATTGAGTATGTTCCACCTTTTCAATCAAGCGTGTAGGTAACGTTAATGAGGCCATCGCTGAGAGGTGCGTAGAGCTCAAACGCCCCGCTGGTCAACTCGAGACCATCCTCCACGCACGCAACGCACTCATCCGCAACCAACAAGACATTGACAACGTCGTTGTCTGCGACGCCGCCCGGCTCAGTAAATCACAATCACAGCTGGCAATGCGGCAAACGTACATGCGACGGTGATCGTCTGGCCACAGTGCGCCCCATTTTCATAGTTGGAAGACGACAGCGCGACTACAAGGTCAGAGTTTTGGATGACCGTTCCGCACTTGCCGACCCGACCGTCGGGATTGTAAAACGACGCTGGAATTCATATTAATACTTTGAAAGGTGTGTAGGACATGCGAGAGCCATTACGCACCTTGGGCGACAGTATCCACTGCGGCAGCAGCAGCGATGAAAACAGCGACAGAGGCGAGAGACTTGATGAAATGCATAGGAGAAGGTGATACTTACATGCTGTCCAGGTCGACGGTTTTATATGTTGACCATTGTGGGCTACGAACTATATTCAATGTGCGGGCTCCGCTCACGGTGACCTCGATTCCGTTTCAATACGGCGTACCCTGGCGTACCCACAGAGGGAGACCTGCATATCCCGTTGGTATGTACTACTTACCGATCACGCGGGATGCTTGCGTCAGTCCTAGAGACCGAATTTCTGAACTCTACGGAACACAATTCCTGACGTTCTAGCGATAACTTGCTTCTTCCGACATTCTAGCGAGACAACTTAATTCTCCAGACATCTCAGACTCCTCATTCGCGTCGTGCCATTGGTCGCCCGGGAAAGTATGGTTGGGGTTGGTATGTGCCAATGCAGGTTAGATACTCTCTGATAGACCAACGTTTCATAACGAAGCGTCTGCGCAACTGAACTGGCTGGTGAAAATGATTGTTGGGGGTGAAAGTGTTCCGAGCAAAAAGTTACAAATCAAAAGCAAAAATTCCGAATCGGGGAATCGAACCCCGGGCTGCTGCGAACTCATTACAAAGCCGTAGCTTATGTAATCGGTGAGAAGCAGCAATGTTGACCCCTACACCAATTCGGAGATGAAAGATGCTAGAGCAAGAGCTACTAGATAGGGTAATCATGAAATATATGCGAAAGGTTGAATTTGGCTGAATTTTTATTTCCAAAGTTAGATCGTCGATTTCGCCTTTGGAACCAAGTCCTAAAGATGTTTTAACTGCGGTAAATATTGATTAGTCTATCGGGAGCAAGTAGCGTACATCGCCATTCGTGATCTATATTTCTCGGTGTAAATATCATGGAAGTATCTATGAAATATGTGAGACGGGTCAATGGGTGACTTCCCGTAAGGAAAATCTATTCTGGGGGAATATTTCGGTGAGATGCCGAGACACCTGTCAGGACCCCATCACTTCAGTCTCCCCAAAGCGGACACATTTTATTCTGCATCACTCGAATAGACGAAAATCTGGAGGGGGGGTAGGCACCCTCCCTCTAGAACTTCATAAACCTTTTTGGACGATATTGATTGATCATCACCTATCAAATGTGTCCGTCGGATTGTCCTCTTTGAATTCACAGTTTCGACGCGCCCATCGGAATTGCACCTCCTCAGTCTCCAAGACGGGTGCCTCAGCCAAATCCAGAAATGTTTTTCTCCAAGTTAAAGCACTTTTGCAGGTTTACAGACCCTGGGATCAATATTTTTCACCAGCCGCGTCTTCTGAATTGCGCCCTTCAAAGTGCTTCCAACAAGGCCACACTTTTAGCACCAGATGTTCTCTGAAGCCACAGAATTGGGGCAGATTCAGGAGGGGTTGCACTGTGTGCATGAGCGGCCCCATCAATACATTAAATTATATTCTGGCTTACAGGAAACCTGAGCAGCGCGAATATCCTTGCAGTGATCTCATCACTGGCACCTTCAAACAAGCTCGGAAATTGCACCAGAATAGATTTTCCTTACGGGAAGTCACCCAATGAACACATTTACGACACATTGGGTGACTTTCCATAAGCATAGATAAATTGTACAGAGTATTTACAAGCCTTGCCGAGGCAGGTGTCAGGACCCCATCAGCTCGGAGACACAAAAACGCACAAGATTTATTCCAAGTCTATTCGAATCTGTTCGAGGGGTAAAGACCCCCCCTACAGATTTTAATAGATGAATAAACTGTTTTTGGTGGATGATGGGCACTTCGTGCCTTGCCTTGGAATGGTAAAGCAGCCAAATTAATTCCCAACACCTGAACAACCTCCTTTTTGCTGCTGGACTCGGCCTCAGCCCTTCGGCGACCATGAATGGAACTTTGATTTTTAAATTCTTTCTTATGGGAATGGACACTGTCTACAGAATATTTGAATATTTCCTGCAGTGATCCCATCGCTGGCACTTTCAAACAAGCTCGGGGAGTATTCTATGCTTATGGAAAGTCATCCATTTCCATCAAAAATGTTAGCAGAATATCCACTCAAGGTTCACATCACATTTTACCAACCTCGTGAGTATATATAATCAGGGTTCTCGAAAAACCCTTCAGGGATAGGCGATGAAATATTGTGGGAGACTCAACATTTTATTAACATTTTTCACCAACGGTGGTGTAGAAGTGCTGCATAGGCCCCGTGCATACATAATAGAATTGAAAAGGAATGGAATTGTGTAGATCACTCATCCTTTAAATTGGGCCTAGAAGCGGCAATGAATGTTAACCCCTACATAAGTTCGGGGATGTAAGTTGTCCGAGGAAGAGTAAGAAGAGGCAGCCGAGATATATGCACGAAAAGACTGAATTTTGGTCGAATTTTAATATTGAACAACATTTGAAGTTGAATTGCCAGTCCAGTCTCTGTCGTTGAACAAAGTCACATCTCCAAGGGTGTATACTGGAATATGATTTAGTCCATTAGCGCACCCAGTTTTGAACATGGGCCTAAGCATTCGTGGCAATGTTGACCCCTACACCAATTCGGACTTGGAGACATTAACAGCAATGTTAACCCCTACACCAATCCGGAGATGGAAGATGACAGAGGAAGAGCTATTAGATAGAGCAGTCGTGAAATACACGCGAAAAGGTTGAACTTGGTTGAATTTTTATTTCCAAAGTTAGATCGTCGATTTCGCCGTTGGAACAAAGTCCCAAAGGTGTTTGAACTGTGGTAAATATTGATTAGTCTATCAGGAGTAATGTTGCCGTGACTCAAGTCCGACTCAGATCAAATTTGTGCTATAACATGGAACAGCCACTGGTAAACCCCGATACTATATAGGGGCTAAATAGAGTCACTATGGGCACTGGTTGAACATTTCAAGTTTTTCGGTGAAAAAATTGATGAAAAATGTTTTGGATTTTACACAAGTTTTTTACTGAAAACATTGGTGAAAAACTTGAAACTTCTTCATGAATTTTTTGAACTTCAAAACTGTTTCAGCACTTTTTCACCACATTTTTACAACATTCAAAAAAGTCAGGGAAAGGTTTCAAGTTTTTCACCCAATTCTTTGCTGAAAAACTACTGTAAAATTCAAAACATTTTTCACCAGTTTTTTCACTCAAAAACTTGAAATGTTCAACCAGTGGGGTGCAGAACATATTCACAGGACTTTGCAGTACAAGTTCTAGTCATGGAGAAATATGTGATTTATTGCTTTTCAAGTCACGACTTAAGTCAGTGACTTTTGAAGCAATGAATCACATATTGCTCAACAACTATCCAATAGGTGCTCAAGGCCTGTAAGTATGTCATGTAGACCCATTGACTTTATTTAGCCCCTATATACCATTGGGGTTTACATGTGGCTGCATTGTGCTCTGGGGCAAACATTGATTGAAGTCGGACTGGAGCTTGAGTCACGGCATCATTAATCGGGAGCAAGTAGTGCAGAAGTGCTGCATAGCCCCGTGCATACATAATAGAATTGAAAGGGAATGGAATCGTGTAGGACACTCGTCCTCTAAATTGGGCCTAGAAGCGGCAATGAATGTTAACCCCTACATAAATTCAGGGATGTAAGTTGTCTGAGGAAGAGAAAGAAGAGGCAGCCGAGGTATATGCGCGAAAAGATTGAATTTTGGTTGAATTTTAATATTGAACAACATTCGAAGTTGAATTGCCAGTCCAGTCGAACAAAGTCACATCCCCAAGGGTGTATACTGGAATATAATTTAGTCCATTAGCGCACCAGTTTTGAACAAAGGCCTAATCATTTGCGGCAATATTGACCCTACACTAATTCGGACTTGGAGACTGGAGAAGAAGCAGCAATGTTGACCCTACACCAATTCGGACTTGGAGACTGGAGAAGAAGCAGCAATGTTGACCCTACACCAATTCGGAGATGGGAGGTATCGGAGGAAGAGCTATTAGATAGGACACTCGTGAAATATACGCGAAAAGGTTGAATTTTTATTCCAAAATTAGATCATCGATGTCACCGTTGAAACAAAGTCCTAAGGGTGTTTTAACTGTGGTAAATATTGATCAGTCTATCGGGAGCAAATAGCGTAGAAGTGCTGCATAGGTCCCGTGCATACGATACTGCCATTTGCTTAGAGCTACTCCGGACACCAGAATAGAATAGAAAATAGAATACGGATTTATCAAATGATGTGATCATGCTGATAGGAGCCACGGACCGCGATCATGAGGCAACCACGAAGTCTCGCCTGCATGCCACCACCATTGCGCACACCCGCAGAGACTGCCAGATGGATTACAAGCATTCTGGCTGCATTAGTGCAGTACATAACACTTGGTGTTGCCCTCCAAGTCTACCCACAGTACTGCAAGACTGAATTGCATACTTCTGCCCTTTCTGGACGTGCCTGGCTCAAAGAGCTACTTACTGGACATCCAGACCGCATCTACATAGCACTTGGGATGCGTCGCCATGTATTCCTTGCCCTCGTTCTACGGATATGGGCAATGGGGTACCTTGAATCCCAGCAAGCAAGAATTGAGCTGGACGAGTCCTTGGCGATCTTCCTGTATACCTGTGTCACCGGAATTGCTATCGATCATGTAGCCGAGCGTTTCCAACACTCGCACACTACAATATCTGTGTATGTTCCATCATATTGTGGCGAGCAGGTTTTGATCTGGCATGTAGGCATTTTCGAAAAATCTTGGACATCTTGTCCGGCCACGAGTTCTACACAAAATATGTAGGGCCGCCTCAGGTCAACGATCCACCTCCCGAGGCCATCCGATTGAACCCCAAATTCTGGCCATTTTTCCAGAATGCACTGGGTGCAATTGACGGGACTCATATTGTACACCGACTGCTGAGTCGGTCCACACAGCTCGTAATCGGAAGGGTGGGGTCTCTCAGAACTGTCTGGCAGCCGTGTCCTTTGATATGTGATTCTTGTTCTTCATTGGTGGGTGGGATGGGTGTGCTGCCGACTCTGCAATGTATGCTAAAGCACGGCTGGCTGATTTTCCCATTCCTGCTGGCAAATGCTATCTTGCAGATGCCGGCTTTGGAATTTGCGACTACTTGCTGGTACCTTATCGCAAGGTCAGGTATCACCTTGCAGAATGGGGTCGGGCCAATGAATGGTATGGGATCACCTGTCATGCACTATCATTGTCTCAAATCCTTGTAGTCCCAAAACACCCAAAGAGCTCTACAACCTTCGACATGCATCTGCCCGGAATGTTGTTGAGCGCATTTTTGGAGTGATTAAAAACCGCTGGGCTATTCTGACGCGTGCCCCACACTACGACATGGGAGTCCAAGCAAAAATCCCAGCAGCTCTTGTAGCTTTGCATAATTTCATCATGGAGCATGATGCAGCAGATCTTGACCGTTGGATTGTTGATGAGGCTGCAGAAGACCTCCTCCGTGGGCGACACCGGGGAGAGATTGACTTTGGGCAGCTGGCTACGGCGACAAAGGTCACAACTGCAGAAAAGCGACGTGCCGAGCATCTTCGAGATAAATTGGCACAAGACATGTGGGAGGACTACCAGCGCATCCTGGCAGAGCGACAGGACCAGGACGACACAATGGATATTGACGGTGTGGGCAATGCAATGGACGTTGATTAAAACTACGAGCAGAAAGTA